AGAATCCCACATGGAAGACTTCCCCTTGCAACTGTGCGTCTCAACCCCTCCTGCCACTTCGTCAGGCAGCACAATCGACAGTCCCAAGGCCGCGTCAGCAGCACATCCTCGCGGCGTCTTTGGAGGAAGGGGAGGAAGAGAGTTCTCCTTTTCTTGATTTCCTGAACGCGTGTTGCGTGAAGAAGAATCAGAATCCTCCTGATCAGCGTTTATTTCAAATAATCCAGCACTGCGCTTCTCCGCTCTCCCCAGCGCGTCCAGCCTCTGATGATTATTCCTGTCTTCCTCATCGCACGTGTTGTCCTTTCCGTCCTTATCGTCTTCGTCTTTATTGCACGGATACAGCGACGGAAGGTCGCTGGTGCTCGCGACCTTCTTTCGGCGGCCGCCAAATGGACTCTTCATGGGAAACAAGGGCGATGTTGGCGTCAACGAGCCAAAATAACCAGGCGAAACAGCTCCAGAAGTTACATTAGCGAAATCGAGCTCGGTAAGCGATGTGGTTACCACCGGCCTTCGCCTGGAAGCAGCCTTGATCCACGGGTGCGTGACAACCTCCGCCATGGAAATCCGCTCGTCGGGATTCACGGACAGCATCGCGCGAATCAGATCCTTTGCTTCCGCCGACACCGCGGACCAGGCTCCGTGCGACATATCCACGTTTCCGCGAATAATCTGGCGAGTCAGTTGCCGCTCACCGTTGCCTTGAAACGGCATTGAGCAGGAAAGCATTCCGAAGAGTAACACGCCGAGCGACCAGACGTCAGCTTTCATGTCGTATTCCTGACCGAGAATCACCTCGGGAGCTTCGTACGGCCGGCTGCCGGCAGTTCCGACGGTTTTCTCCCCCGGAGCAAGTCGAACCGCCAGGCCGAAATCAGCTAGCTTCGCGAGAACGCGGGAGTCTGAAGCGGTGCCGGGCTGTTTCGGTAACGAAGGTGAAGGTAAGGACGTGGAATTGTAGTACTGAGGAACGGAGGAGTTGAGAGGGTTGGAGAGGAGGACGTTTTCGAGCTTGATATCGCGATGCACCACCCCGTTCCGGTGACAATAGAGGACGGCGTGAGCCAACTGACGGAAAATCAGAACAGCTTTATTTTCCGATAATCCCGAGGATATACCAGATCGCTGCTTGCTGCTGTTGCTGGTGACATAAGTAAAGAGATCTCCGACGTCACAAAACTCCATCATGAGATAGATGGCTTCGTCGTCTTCGAAGACGTACTTCAGCTCAATAACGTTGGGATGCTTTCCCACCATAGAAACCAGCAGCGCGACTTCCTGCCGTAAAAAGTGCTGGTGCAGGAGCGAGTCCTTAAGAGACACTTTAAGGACCTTCTTACACGCGTACTGCTCGCCGGTTCGCCCATCCTCGCACAACCACACCGTACCGAACCGGCCTTCACCGATGACCTTGACGAACTTGAGAGTACTCCACGGTGCCTCGGTCGGTCGCCGGAGAAATGAAGTTGACGAGTCCATTGAAAAGGACTGACGTCACGTAAAGCTGTCAGCCGAAGGACAGGAACGGAAACCTAGGGAAGAAACGGAAAGCGGACAGCGGGGAAATGCCTGACTTACGGACAACTGGCATGCTGATTCTAAATCTCCTTGTTCAGTCTGAGCTGAAGCTATCAGCTGAAAGCATAAATAGTATCTAACGCCTAAGCAGGGCCGTTCGAAGAGCTGTCGTAGCGTCACTACTGAAACACCACTCTCGTCTGGCTGTAGTCTACTTATCACGGAAGCCAATAAAAAAAGCAGTAAAATCAAGCGACTCTCGGAATTACGACGAACGAGAACCAGTGATTAATAAGTATGAAAAGTGGCAGCCAATGAAGTCGATGGATGAGATATGTGGAGCGTGTAGGTGCGGAAAATCTGGGGTGTTGAGGTCAGATGGAAAAGACGGCGGCAGGAAAAGCAAGTTCTTGATGCCAAGGTTGAACGACAACAATGATGCTGAAACGAAACGACACCCAGATGTGGAACGAAAGATGGTGGCGGAGAGAGTGGAGGTGGTGTGGTCTGTGTGTGGTGAGGTGTGGTCTGTGTGGTGTGGTGCGGTGGGGTCTGTATGGTGTGGTGTAGTGGGGTCTGTGTGGTGTGGTGTGGTGGGGGGGACTGTGTGGTGTGGTGTGGTGGGGTCTGTGTGGTGGAAGGGAAGCACGTTCCATGATTGATGGATTGTGTGGTTAGGTGCAAGCGGATCGTGATCCACATGGGATGTCACCTTGAGGTATCCCATTGGAGGAGAACCCATGGTTCCCCTCAAGAATTCAAATGGTAACTAGTAGGAACAACGACATTTGCGGAGTTCGTCAGAAAATCGTACACTGTCGGGAATCTGAATCGACGATTCAGGACGCAGAAAATTCGAGGGTCACCCCAAAGAAACCCCACTCTGCTTCGAGACGAGACTGGTCACTACCCCCTACTGTTTCGACAACGGTGGACGCCCATGGTGTGGGGAATGTACGGTTCCGATTCGCGAGCACTGGTTTGGTTTGGGAAGGAAAGAGAGGAGTCCGGGTGGTGGTGTGGTGTGGTGGAATCTCCCACGCCCGGGCTTGAACGTCATTGCACGAAAGTGTACAGTAGTTCGTGCGCTCGTGTTCTGGGGGGAACGTCTAGCAACTTATCAGAGAAGTGGGAGCGTGGATAATGCGGGGAGAGCATGCGCTGGTGGGTGGGGCGGAGTTTCAGATCAGACGAGTGCAGGGACGGAGCAGGTATGGTATTGTAGTGACCTGGCGACAGGCTGGGCTCACGACGGCAGGGTGGGTGCTTCGTTTACTTCAATATCCGATATTTATGATGACCCCATATGACCGCGCCTGATTGGAGACGCATTGCAAAACAAAGCACCGCGCATTTAATCGACCAATCATGCGCGGTCATCTAATGTCCCGCGCATTGACATTGAAGATCGCGCATTCATCAGTACAAAGGTTTAGGGAATACAAACCCTTGTAGGGTAGTGCGCCGTGTAAAACAAAAACCAGCGGGAATCCCCTGGCGTGGCCACTCGAGTAATTCGAGGCCACGCGAGTAAGGATGAATCACCGATCCAGGTTCTACAGTAATTCTCTCAGCTGTAACGGCAAGGCGGTCAGGTGCTAGCAGCCGTGAACCACAGTAGTTTGCTCTCGTTGACGGAAATTGCTGCTCGATTGATTACAGTATTTCCGCCAACAATGATAGTGCGTGAACCCATAATGTGCAGAGCGGTGCGGAACCAACCACACGGGAATTACAGAGGCAAATTGCACGTTGTAACGAACAAAAATATCAGCGCGATGATGCTAAAGAGCCGGACAAGTACAAAAGTCGTAGCCAAGATAAGACAACCACCATGGGGAGTTTGTGGTTCTACACTCATGACAGCTGTAAATCGGACAAGAAGAATAAGGATAGGAGCAGAATGGGATGTTCGATACACAGAGCTTCAAGTGGATCTGTTCATTGTTTTTTGGTCGTCCAATCTCAAATTCCCTATATGTAGACACTCGTAGGCTGAGCCATATTGTAAGGAATTTTCTCGGCATTCCTTACGGAGCCCGACTACATCGCGTACAGCAACAGCCGTTGTTCGCCCGTTACTGCTAACGGAACTTCGCCGACTTCGCGCGCACTGTTTCACCAAACCTCGCACTGCTGGCCCGGCCGTGTCGGCCTACGCTTCGGGACTAGCCCGAGCCTCGCTGCCAGCATAGCACTGGCTAGCTCGCACGCACCGCGTTACTGTTTGCATGCTTCGCATATAAATGTTCGCTCATGCCTTCGCTCACATCTTGGTACTCGTTTGACACCTTAGTGCAATTCTCACTACTTAGATTCATTGCACCCGTAACACATATATAGGTACTCCCTACTACATTATCATGAAAAGTGTAGACCTATAAAATATTCAGCCAGTAATTATACAGCCACACCTGCATCAGTTACGATGTCTCATTATGAAATCCTTAATCGAGCTAATGGTTGCAGCGTCCGCAGGGATAATATGACCACAAGCATGGCGTAACACCGTCCGAGAACCAGCATCAAATAATGAAACAAATTCCTCACTCCGCTGCTGGGTTACTTGACGATCGTGACTTTCAAAGGTACTGGTAGGCACGTTGGTAACATCTGCATCCTTGTTGTAACATTTGCTCGCTCCAAAGACGTGTAACGACGGCAACTTTACCACCTCGCTGTTCTCCATCAACTCATGCATAAACGGATGGGCTTCTCTTGCTGCCAAATACCCAGAGCAAAGAATTGCAAACCGAATGCCTCCCCACACTTTCCGTTCCCCAACTGCTCCCTGACTCCCCGCACACTTGCCGTTCTCACTGCCCTCTGTTCTCTGCTCTGTCTTTTCTCCATCCACTGTCCCCTCCTTCCAACTGGACAATGCACCCGCTTCTACACTTTCCTTACAAGCCAAAATATGAGCCTCTTCCCTTTCTTTACTAGCCAAGGCAGCAACAGCAGCAGCCACGGCAGCACCTTGGGAGAATCCCAACACCCCGTCAAACGGACCCAGCTCAGATACCACCTCTCTCAGATAGGACAAACTCGCCGCCCAGCCGTACACCTGCCCGTCCAACTGGTCAGCAGGGAATTTGCCAGCTGGCAGCACATGTGGCCCTGCTGTGTGAGCTGGGATCGCATCAGCGACAGCTGGCAAAACTGTGACACCTGGCACCTCGCTGGTGCTGCCAGCTGGCAGTTTGCCAGCAAGGCTGCTGGTGGAAGGAGTGCAAAACAAGTGAGTCTGGTGCTGGGGCAGGGTGAGAGAACTTTTTGTGGTGGTGGGGTGAAGAGAAGGAGGTTGCTTTTGAGGCGCCTCAAAAGTCAAGTGAGTCTGGTGCTGGGACAGGGTGAGGGAACTTGTTGTGGTGGTGGGGTGAGGAGGAGGTGGTGAGAAGGGGAGCGTGGGGATGGAGATTGCTTGATAGGAGGGTTCTTGAAGGGAGGGTGCTTTTAAGGAGGGTGCTTGGAGGGCGAGGTCAATGGGTCCTGTCAGCCAGGCGAACTTGGTTCGAGGAGGTTGAGAAGCTAGAGGAGAAGTAGGTGAAGGGGCAGGTGAAGGAGCAGCTACAGTGCCACCTGACGAGGCACCTGAAGGATCACCTGAAGGAACATACAGAGGAGCACCTGAGGATGTCACAACATGTGCGAGGGCATGTGGGGCGTCAATAAAGACAAACTCTGCAACCGACTTGAGCTTTCGCTGCAGCGCCCTCGTGCGGCCAGAAAAGGACGACGCGTGTTGTCTGAATCCATGAAGACAAAGAATGCGAGCTTTTGATCTTGAACTCTCGCTGCTGTTGCTACTCCTGCTGCTGTTGCTGCTGTCGTTGATGCTGTTGCTGGCGGTTGTGGCAGTGTTGGCGGCCATGACAGTTGCTGTTGGTGGAACTGCTGTTGTAGTGGGGGCATCAGTGCCAGAAGTGGTGGCAGTGGTGGCAGCAGCAGCAGCAGTGGCAGCTGCTGAGGGAGTCACACTAGCAATGCCACCAGTACAGCCAGGCTGCTTCCAAAGCATAGACACGCCACAATATGCAGTGGAGGGTGCACACTGCACACACATTGAACCACAGCAGTGCATGCCATGCCAGTCGTATGCACGCCAGGTCGAAATTCAAGAAGAGACGCACGTCAATAATCAGTCGATACCGAGGCGAAGAAAAAAAGGCAGCAGAAATTACTAGGCAAGAGATGCCCGAGTCCGAGACAAACCTTATGCCAAAAGCGGAGAGATATTTTAGGCGGCTCAAGATTTTTGCTCTGAGAGATTGAGATATTGTTGTGGGACAAAAACAAGGACTTGAAGTATTCGAACAAACCCAGCAAGTGTGTTTCAAATAGCCCTTGAAATAGCCCTTGAAACGACTCAGAGACCACCTACCAGGGTTACAGGTGAAGGGGAAAGGTGCTGTCGTAACTGCTGCTGCTGCTGTTTCTGCTGCTGTGTCTGCTGCTTTTGATCCTCCTGCCCCTGCTCCTGCCCCTGCCCCAGCCCCTGCTCCTGCCCCTGCCCCAGCCCCTGCTCCTGCTGTTGCTCCTCCTGCTGCTCCTTCCCCTGCCCATGCTCCTGCCCCTGTGCTTGGTCCTTGCGTCTCTGGCGATATTGCTGCTGTGGTCTTTCTTTATCTCCTGCCTTCTCCCCTTCCACTGAGCAACCTCCTTTCTGGCAGATTTCACACAGGACATCGGTCTGAAAAGGAAAAAAACGGAGGGGGGAAAGGGGCAGAGCGGGTAAGATTAAGGAGACACATTCTCACCTGTTTCTCAGCACACGTAGGGCACACGAGCAGCAGCATGCAGCATGCGGCAGGCAGTGCAACGGTTCCTCCCGCTGTAGTCGTCAAACGGCTTGGCACACAGGCAGCACACCCCTATGGTCATACCTGTTGGTAGTCTCACCTCTGTCTGAGTACAAGCAGGGCACACGAGCAGCAGCATGCGGCATGCAGCGCAGCGGTTCCTCCCGCTGTAGTCATCAAAGGGCCTCACGCACAGACAGCACACTCCAATCGTTGCTTGTTGCGGCGCTGCTGGTGGCACAGCCAGGCTGGGAGGGGAGAGGGATAGGAAGAGAGCGAGGTTCGGAATAGGTGGGTTGAGAGGGGGGAGGGCAGGGAGTGAGGGAGCGAGCGGGGCAAACGAGGAGAGAAGTGCTGATCTGACAACTGGGGTGGTACAGCAAGTCACAACTCACAAGGCATGAAAGACAAAGGCCACTGATGGTCAAAGAATCTTCCAAGGGGAGTTCTGAGGCAACTGATAAAGTCATCTCTTTGGGGAATTCTGATAACGAATCTCACCGGTGGTCAAAGACAAAGTTCTTCCCCTGAAAGAAACCCCCATCTGGGAACGCCTCGAGATAGCGCACGATGCCCCCTGACAGCTGCACACACACAGAGAGAGGGCATAAGAAACAAGGCATGATATGGTATGGGCTAGTGTGGCATGGGATGGGATGGCATGGAAGGCAGAAACCCCCATTTGGAACGCCTCGAGATAACGCACGATGCCCCCTGACAGCTGCACAATGCATGGGGTGCAAGGATGGGGCATGGCGGAACAAGGCATGATACGGTATGGATGGCATGGCATAGCACGGAAAAATCTTGAAACAATGCACAAAGCGTCCTGACAGCTGCACAGTGCACTGGGTGGAATGAAGAAGGCATGGAATGGGACGGAAGAGCACAGCACCGCACAGCACAGCAAGGCATGGCACGGCACGGCACGGCACGGCACGGCACGGCACGGCACGGCACGGCACGGCACGGCACAGCACAGCACCACATGCACCGCATAGCACACACCTGCACCACATGCACCGCATAGCACACACCTGCACCACATGCACCGCATAGCACACACCTGCACCACATGCACCGCATAGCACACACCTGCACCACATGCACCGCATAGCACACACCTGCACCACATGCACCGCATAGCACACACCTGCACCACATGCACCGCATAGCACACACCTGCACCACGTGCACCGCATAGCACACACCTGCACCACATGCACCGCATAGCACACACCTGCACCACATGCACCGCATAGCACACACCTGCACCACATGCACCGCATAGCACACACCTGCACCACATGCACCGCATAGCACACACCTGCACCACATACACCGCATAGCACACACCTGCACCACATGCACCGCATAGCACACACCTGCACCACATGCACCGCATAGCACACACCTGCACCACATGCACCGCATAGCACACACCTGCACCACATGCACCGCATAGCACACACCTGCACCACACACACCGCATAGCACACACCTGCACCGCATAGCACACACCTGCACCGCATAGCACACACCTGCACCGCATAGCACACACCTGCACCACGTCTTGGAAGCCAGGCCCCTTGGATCCAAGGTAGGCCGTGGCTGACAATTGTTGTTCATAAGAAAGAGCACAGAACCACGTGGCACATCACAGCACCGCACTGCACCGCACTGCACCACACAGCACACACCTGCACCACGTCCTGGAAGCCAGGACCCTTGGATCACAGGTAAGCCGTGGCTGACTCACAGCGGACCCCTCCCGTGCAGTGCAATACCCGCACAGCACTGCACCGCACCACACAGCACCACACAGCACCGCACAGCACCACATACAACCGAGCACATACACAGACCTGCACCACGTCTTGAAATCCAGGCCCTTTGGATCGGAGATACGCCGTGGCTGACTCACAGCGGACCCCCCCTGTGCAATACCTGGTGGGAAGTGGGGGAGGGAATGGGGGAAACGCTTAACTAAAACCACACAACTTACGTACGCACAGGTTTTCCCCTCAGCTTGTACCGCGGAGCTCCATAAGCTTGCACACATATTCACATTGCTCGAATTTGCTTCAGTTGCTTATCTATCTAGGCAACACAGCACCAGCAGCAGCACTCACATGAGCACCGTTTTGTCTCTCAGCTTCTCCTCATGCCTGTCCACCCATGCCGGCAGATCGCTGAACCGAGTTGCACTGCACCTGTACTGTACCATCCACCCACACGCAATTGCTTACCGACACAGCACCAGCAGCAGCACTCACATGAGCACCGTTTTGTCTTTTAGTTCGTCTTCGTGCCTGTCCACCCATGCGGGTAGATCGCTGAACTGGCGAATGCAGGGGTCGATAAATGTCACTCCTGGGAGGTGGTGTCAGGTATGGGATTGTGCGGTGCAAGGGAAGTGACAGAGGAAAGGAGGGGATCGGGCATGTATGCAGTATCCCCCTTGCCTCGTGCGTGTCCACCCATGCCGGTAGATCGCTGAACTGGCAGATGCAGGGGTGGATGAATGTCAATCCTGAGGATGGGGGGAAGGGTGTGGCATAACGGGGAGTAGCAGAGGAAAAGGATGAAAGGGTGCATCCATGGGGTTATCCTCTCCTTGCCTCGTGTCTGTCCACCCAAGCCGGCAGATCGCTGAACTGGCGGATACAGGGATCGATGAATTCCACACCTGAGCGGTGGTGTCAGGTTTTGGGTTGTGCAGTGCGGTGCAAGAGCAAGTAGCAGAGGAAAGGAGGAGCTAGCTGGGGCATGCATGCAGCATCCTCCTTGCTTTGTGCCTGCCCACCCAAGAGAGAGAAACAAAAAATGACCTCAGAACATACCTCACAACTAGAATCTCAGAAATAAGCTGACTTTTGAGTCGACTCAAAAGTCAACTTGCTTTGCGCCTGTCCACCCAAGAGAGAAAAAATCCAAGCATCACAACTAGAATCTCAGAAATATAAAACATGACATGACCCCAGAACACATGGGTTGACTTTTGAGTCAACTCAAAAGTCAACTCGAAATATAAAACATGACCTGACCCCAGGCCAGAACACATGGGCATAACAAGGAAGCGACTGGCAGCACCTTTGGGCGGCACGAATCGTCCGATGCGCGTCTCGTACACGTTCCTGGTGTCCAATACCACCATGCCACGTGGCACACGCCCTTCCTCCTTCTCCTCCTGCTCCTCCTCACACTCTCCCGTTGATTCCTCCTCTCCCTCCACTCCCCCATTCTCCACTCCCCCATTCACCATTTCTCCATTCTCCACTTTCCCATTCTCCATTCCTCCATTCCCCACTCTCCCTTGCAACATGAGTTGATGAAACGCCTCTGCAGACACGTGATTGGCTGTGAGGGAGAGATCCACGGGGCATAGGGTTACCAGCTCCTGAGATGTAACCAGAAGCGAAGGAAAAGAGGCACAGAGAAGAGAGGCAGGCAGAGTGAAGATGGGAGCAAGCAGGGTCTAGGGTGCATGCACGTTGCATTCCCATGTTATCCTTCCTGGGGTCCGGTCCGGTCCGGCCGCTGAATGGAACCCAGAACGGGAACCCCACTCTAAACCCCAGAACCTGTTTTTTGAGAATTCTCAAAAAACACCCAGAACGGGAACCCCACTCTAAACCCCAGAACCTGTTTTTTGAGAATTCTCAAAAAACACCCAGAACGGGAACCCCACTCTAAACCCCAGAACCTGTTTTTTGAGAATTCTCAAAAAACACCCAGAACGGGAACCCCACTCTAAACCCCAGAACCTGAGCTGCTCACTTCCTTATCATTCCTCCTAAACCCTGAACCCAGGGCCTTGAATTGCACCTGGTATCTCACCTTGACTATCCGCACAGAGAGGGCTGCACGTTGCACTCCCGCACTATTCTGGGATCAGGCGGCCAATCACAAGGAGGAACCCACTCTAGTTGCACTCTATTCTGGTAACCTCACCTTGACTATCCGCACTGAGAGCGCATGTACGTTGCACTCCCGCGCTATCCTGGGATCTGGCGGCCAATCACAGGGCTCCAGCTTGAAGTCGGTGCGGGCAAACCAATTGGAAGGGTGCTGGGAGAGAGAGGCGATGTGACTATGAAGAGCGGACATGCGACCCACTACCTGCAATAAAGTGATTATAACGGGGGGTTCGGGAGGAGGGGGGGAGTGGGGAGAGAGCGACTAGCTTTAAGTTGGTGCGGGCAAATCAAGTTGTGATTATAAGGGTGGTTGGAGTGGGGGGCGATGTGTTTGTGAAGAGCAGGCATGCGACCCACTACCGGCCCTGCCAGTCGATGATTATAACGAGGTGGGCGGGTGGGCGAGGGGGAGAGAGAGAAAGAATAGCCTGCAAGGCAGTTTGGGCGAACCACTTGGCTGAGCGGTGGGAGAGGGCGGCCAGACTATGGAGGGCGGACATGCGACCCATTACGTGCCAACAATTGATTACAACGGGGGTGAGTGGGTGGGAGGTGGGAGAGGGTGCGATGTGACTGTGGAGGGCGGACACGAGAACCACCCTCTTCTCTGCAGAGTGATATTAACGGGGTTGGATGGTAGGATAGTGCGACAAAGTTGGTCGTTGAATTTCAATACTACTAGCCGTGACGTTAAAGCCTTGCTTAGACACGCGGACGCGACCCAAGACCAACGTATTTGGCGTCCCCGTGGCGTTCCTGTCTCCTATTTAAAGCCCAATAGAACTTACCGTGACGTTAAAGCCTTGCTTGGATACGCGGACGCGGCCCAAGAGGCCTTCCTCCTCGCAGATACGTCGCATCCAATCAGCTGCTGCCACGTCATCAGAAACATCCACGTACTGGTAGTACAGCAACACGCCGTAACCCTCGGGTTCTGTACTGTTCATCGAGTTTGTAGTCGTTATAGTCTCACTCGACGCCATCGCACACACCACAGACTTGAAGCGATATAAGCGCGCCCAGAAATTTCGACCGTTCTGGAGACAAGTGAACTGTTGAAACTGAGTTTGCGGATCAAAGCTGACTATATCGAAGCCTATTAGCACGGAAGTGCATACAATGGCGCACGAATAACGCAAAGTGAGAGGTACCGTAGTAGCCTAGTGGCAAGTCCCTTAGCTCACACTTTCCACGTGTAAAGCGGAGCCTTAGGACGCGGTAAAAGTACTCGATCGGGGGGAGATCGAACCGGTCACCGTACTGAAAGGTACACAACCGTTTACAACCGCGCTAAAAAACGATCCTGAGGCGATCGAATCTCCACTTTTACCGCGTCCTTAGAGTTGTCGCGGTTTGGTTATGGTGTTTGGTGAGCAGAGCAGGAAAGTATCGTCAGCTCTTTGTGCTCCTTGCGGAAACTTTGTGTTTCAAGTTCGGTAACAAACGGTTGAACACGATAACGTGCGCTCTCAAAAGGTTTAGTAGGTCTACCTCTTTGAACCGCGCTATTATCTTCTCAGAAATTGAAATCGATTCGTTATAGACCTAGTTTGGAAAATGGAGTGCTGTTGTTGTGAATGACATAATTATAGAGTTTCCGTTTTACGATTCAAACCGAGAGCAATATTTCATTACGCTGCACCTTTCCTTCGCCATTCCCCCCCGCTTCCGTCGCCGCGTTCGGCGCCGCGTTGTGCGCAACACACCCGATTACTTACACGTAGCTATGATGAAATCAATAGCCGTTACGAACCGCGTCGCACTACTGACAAACTGTGCCAGCCACCGAGAGCAATGCCACGTCGCGCAGGAATTTCGAGCACGCAGCAGCAGCGGCGGCGCTAATTGCGCGATCTCATCGAGTCTAGGCGTCGCAGATTCTAGAAGCTTCCCGTCGGCCCATCGGAGCAGCTGCTTTAGTTTCCATCCGACGCGGCAATTGCGTCGCTCTGAGAGTGCCACGTGTCATCAGGCGGGCGATCCGACGTGCCAGCGTTACGCACAGCAGCCTCTGCGAAATTCACGATTCGCGCAGTCAACCTTCGCGAAGAATCACCAGTTTTCACGAAATTGGCGACGGCAAAACTGGTCTCGCAATGTAGATCCGAGGCTGGCTTTTCCCAGATGCAGCCTCCCCCAGTTGGCTCCCCCTATCTCGGCATCTGAACCGTCAATCTCCGTTCAATCTCCACCACCCATTCCGCACCAATCTCTGGTAGCATCCATCGCCGCATCGCAGCCGTCCATTCCCTTCGCGCTGCCATCTCGACCGTTGATATCAGCAAGCGACACGTGGGGGGTGTGGGCCGCGCTGCTAGCAGCCGCAGCTGTCGGCTTCTGGTCGGAGCGCCATACCGATTTAGGACGCGCGTTAAGCGGGCCGTTAGTCGCCACATTATTAGGCCTAGCCGCGAGCAACTTAGGCCTAATACCCTCCGAGGCTCCTGCATACGTCGTAGTTAATCGCTTCCTGCTGCCTCTAGCCGTTCCTCTCCTGCTCTTCGCCGCTGACCTAAGGAGGGTGATTAAAGACACCGGGCGGCTGCTTTTGGCGTTTTGCGTGGGCTCAGGTGCGTCACTGTGCGTAGTAAGTACATATCTGTCATACGTGACCCTTCCTCTGTCCATCCTGAGGTGTAGGATTCGGGGTTTAGGGTCTAATCCGTCTTTCCCCCCCTTACACTCCCCCGTCATCACAGTACGTTCCCGGCGCTAATTCATCCCTTCTTCCCCCTCTCCCCTCTCCTCCTCGCCCTCTCCCTTTCTGCCCCCTCCCCCACTCACCTCCTCCCTCCCCGCCCCTCCTCCCCATGCAGTCGGCGCCCCCCTGGTGGCCTTCCTTAGCCACCCTGCCAGCTCACAGGACTTCCCCTCCTGCTTCTCCCTCCTCTCCTTTTTTTGAGGCGCCTCAAAAATAGGTACCCCCCTGGTGACCTTAACCGCCCTGCTGCTCACAGGACTTCTCTCCTGCTTCTCCCTCCTCTTCCCCCAACCCCCCTTCCCCCACCCTCTCCCCCGGTGCAGTCGGCACCATCTTTGGCACCAAGGTGGCCTTTACCGCACTGCCACTCACAGGTCTTCCGTTTCTCCTTCTCCCGCCCCTCCCCCCTCTCTTCTCTTCTCTCCTCTCCTCCCCTTCCCTTCCCTCTCCCCACAAGCAGTCGGCACCATCCTAGGCACGCTGGTGGCCTTTGCCGCACTGCCCCTTTCCTCCCTCTCCCCTCCCTTCCCACTTACCCCCTCTTTCCCCTCTTATCGCCACCCCCCCCCTTCACCGTTTCTCCCCACGTGCAGTCGGCACCATCTTTCGAACCCTGGTGGTCTTTGCCGCTCTGCCGCTCCGTATAAGGCATCCTCTCCTCCAACCTCTCCCAACCCCCTTTACTTTCCCCCCTGCCCCCGTTCCCCCCCCCCCTCCCCCCCCTCCCTTCTCCCCCCTCACCCCTCCCCCTTTTCCCCCCTCACATGCAGTCGGAACCATCTTTGGTACCCTTGTGGCCTTTGCCGCCCTGCCACTCCGGTCGCTGGGCGGCGACGGTTGGAAGATAGCGGCTGCACTGATGGGCCGGCACATAGGGGGAGGTGAGTCCGCGGAATAAGATAGAGGTGTAGTTGCATGGGGTGAGGGGGGCATGGGGAGCATGGGGGGTATGGGGGGTGAGGGGGGCATGGGGGGCATGGGGGGAATCGCATTGGGGATACGGGTGCACGTGGGAGGCATGGATTGTTGAGAGATGACTTTTGAGTCGACTCAAAAGGCATGGGGGGCATGGGGGGTATGTATGGAGGGTATGGGGGGGATTGCATGGGGGGCATGGGGGGTATGGTGGGAATTGCATTGACGATATGGGGGCACATGGGAGAAAAGGAGATAGGGGGAGGGGAGAAATGGAGGGCAGTGACCAAGGCATTACAGGCATCACCATCAGTGGTGACGGCAGCTCTGGCAGCCGACAACCTCCTGTGCACCACGCACTTCACTTCATCCCATCCTCGCTCCTTTTTTTCCCACTTCCTTACTCCCCCAATTCCTTTCCTACGTCCCTTCTCTTCCCTGCTCCCCCGCACCCACCCTCCCAGCCGTGAATTACGTGGCAGTGACAGCGGCATTGCAGGCATCACCATTGGTAATGACGGCAGCTCTGGCCGCCGCCAGCCTGCTGTGTGCGCTGCACTCGCACCCCATCCCTATCCCCCTCTTTCCCACTTCTCCATTTCCCCGCTTCTCCAATTTCCCACTTCCCCACGTCCTCCCCCCCACTTCCCCTCTCCCTTTTTTTCCACCCACCCCTCCCAGCTGTCAACTACGTAGAAGAGACAGACAGAGGCGCTACAGGCATCACCGTGGTAAAGGCATCTCTAGCACCCCACAACCTGCTGTGTGCGCTACAGCGGGTGCTGGTGGTGCATGTGATTCATCTTCCCGGCCTTCCTCCCCCTTCCCCTCCACTCCCCAATCCCAGCTGTGAACTACGTGGCAGTAACAGAAGCACTGCAGGCATCACCATCGGTGGTGACGGCAGCTCTGGCAGCCGACAACCTGCTGTGCGCACTCCACTTCACGACCCTTTTCGCCATCGCTGCTAGCATACCTGCAGAAGGGGAGGGGAAGACGGAGAGCAGTGCTTCTGGCGCCGGTGATGCTGCTGCTGCTGCTGCTGCTGCTGCTGATGCTGCTGCTGCTGCTGCTGCTGCTGCTGATGCTGCTGCTGCTGCTGCTGCTGCTGCTGCTGACACACAAGCATCAACCTCACAGGTATGTGTCCTTAAGACAGACAGCAGCAGCTCTGGCAGCCGACAACCTGCTGTGTGTGCTCCACTTCCCAACCCCCCTCGCCCTCGCTGCAAGCATCCCGTGCTTGCTTGCAGCACAGTGCTCATGCTGGCATTGCAATCAATCTCTCCTCCACTGCAGGTTTTTGAGTCGACTCAAAAACCAACCCCCCTCGCCCTCGCTGCAAGCATCCCGTGCTTGCTTGCAGCACAGTGCTCATGCTGGCACTGCAATCAATCTCTCCTCCACTGCAGGTTTTTGAGTCGACTCAAAAACCAACCCCCCTCGCCCTCGCTGCAAGCATCCCGTGCTTGCTTGCAGCACAGTGCTCATGCTGGCACTGCAATCAATCTCTCCCCCACTACACCCGTCTGTGTCCCCCACCCCCTCCATCCAGCCTTCATTTGAAGTATCAGCAGCAGCGACCGCCCTCGCCCTCGCAGCCTTGCTCTGCTGGCTCGGCTCCTCTCTAGCAAAGAAACCGTCCTCTTGAACTCCATTTCTTCTCCCTTCTTCACCGCATTGCACCCATCCGGCAGCCTTCATTTGACGTGTCAGCAGCAGCCACCGCCCTCGCCCTCGCAGCCTCTCTCTGCTGGCTCGGCTCCTCTCTAGCAAAGAGACTAGCCTTCGTTGGAGGCACCATCCCTTGTGTCACGGCGCTCGTGCTGGCCTTCGCTACAGTCACACCCAGCCTCGCCGCCCCTCTGGTTGTTCCCGGGGAAAAGATGGCTGCGTTGATGCTGCAGGTGAGAAAGAGCGAACTTTGATGCTATAATCACAACTCACCTGCGCTGGCATTCGCTACAATCACACCAGCCTCGCCGCCCCTCTGGTTGTTCCCAGGGAGAAGATGGCTGCGTTGATGCTGCAGGTGAGTCTAGGTATAATAACGCCTCGCCTCGCCTCATGCTTGAATTCGCTACAGTCACACCCCACCTCGCCGCCCCTTAGGCTGTTCCGGGAGAAAATGGCTGCACTGATGCTACAGGTGAGAGAAGCGGTCATCTCTTGCTGCTATAGTCACGCCTCGCCTCATGCTGGCATTCGCTACTCACACCCAGCCTCACTGTCGCGCTTCCCACCCTGCCTCTCCTGATCCCCCCCTTCCATCCCATCAGGTCTTCTTTGCTTCCATAGGAGCCAACGGCAATCTCTCTGCCATCCTCTCATAAGCCCCCTCCCTCTTCCTCTTCATCCTCTCCTCTCCCTTTGCTTGCTACAACCCCTCTTCCTCCCTCTACTCCCTGCCATCCCATCAGGTCTTCTTTGCTTCTATCGGAGCCAACGGCAATCTCTCTGCCATCCTCTTATCAGCACCCTCCCTCTTCCTCTTCATCCTCCTCCAACTCTCCCTCCACCTCCTCTTCACCCTCTCCCTCGGTCGCCTCCTCTCACTCCCTCTAAAGCACCTCCTCATTGCCTCCAATGCCAACGTGGGAGGGCCAACCACAGCAGCCGGCATGGCTGCCTCTAAAGGCTGGCGCTCCCTGACAGTCCCGGCTATACTCGTGGGGATTTTCGGCTATGCGACAGCCACTTTCCTCTCAGTAGCGCTAGGCCATACAGTCTTGAAGCCCATGCATCTGAGAGCACTGCTCTCCTAGTGCCACCTTCTCTCCATTCCTCTCACTACACCTCCTCTTCACCCTCTCCCTCGGTCGCCTCCTCTCCTTCCCTTTGAAGCACCTCCTCATCTCCTCGAACGCCAACGTGGGAGGCCCAACCACCGCAGCCGGCATGGCTGCCTCCAAAGGCTGGCGCTCCCTGACCGTTCCGGCTATACTCGTGGGAATATTCGGCTATGCGACAGCCACTTTCCTCTCAGTAGCTCTAGGCCATACTGTCTTAAAGCCCATGCACCTGAAAGCAGTTCTTTCCTAGCGCTGCCTCCGCTCCTCTCTCACGCTCCTCCTCCTCCACCTCCTCCTCACTCCTCTCCCTCATTGCCTCCAATGCCAACGTGGGATGAGAGGCCCAACCACAGCAGCCGGCATGGCTGCTGCAAAAGGGTGGGGGATTTTGGATAGGCCACTGCCACATTCCTGTCTTTTGTGCAAGGCCATACAGCGTTGACGCCCATACATAGAGCAGGTGTTTTCTAGAGGCAGCTGCTGCTTCCAAGGGCTGGTGATGCTGTGACAAATATTGTTATACGGTAACTGTAAGAGCTTTGGCTAGGATCAGGGGAGCACTATTGAGTATGAATTTGTTGGAAATAAGAAGTCGCTAGAGCGCAGCGGAAGCTCTAGGAATTAACGACGTCCCTACGGCGGGGCTATTGGTCACTCAGAGGTAGCTCTCCTGGCTTGTAACGTGGTGCCAAAGCAGCGGCCGAGGGTAGGCCGGACACAAGCTTGAGAATTGTGTAATATGAGCAAGTGTAAGGAATTTTCTCGGCATTCCTTACGGAGCCGACTACATCGCGTACAGCAACAGCCGATTGTTCGCCCGTTACTGCTAACGGAACTTCGCCGACTTCGCGCGCACTGTTTTACCAAACCTCGCACTGCTGGCATGGCCGTATCGGCCTACGCTTCGGGACTAGCCCGAGCCTCGCTCCAGCGTAGCACTAGCAAGCTCGCACGCACCGCGTTACCGTTTTGCATGTTTCGCGTATAAATGTTCGCTCATGCCTTCGCTCACATTTTGTACTCGTTTGACACCTTAGTGCAATTCTCGCTACCTCGATTCATTGCACCCGTAACACTTGGTATCAGAGCCCCTTTCTTTCGGACCGCGCATCTCCGCACACCAGGAAATCAACTTTTGTTTTTTCACTCGAAGGGACTCACGCACCTTAGCCCCTAGGAGCCGCTGTCCTCGCGTTCTCTCGTAAACGCGTGCAGCCACGACTGCGCCTAGACTAAGACGAGCCGACGCCCTTCGTCATGGCCGAAAATATCGACGTCACCACTCTCACGCAGGAGCGTTTGAACGATTTGCTGCGACAACTGCACGAAAGCTCCGAGGAAATCGCGGCATTGACGGCAGAACGCTCATCACTGCAAAATGACCTCATGAGAGCACAATCCCAAGCACCTGGCACTCCGATTCAACCTGCACCCTCAACATCACAACACGGGAGTGTGGGGCAACCCGCGAGCGCGGCCAGTGATGGCGTCGTCCGCCCCGACGGAGACGACGACCACGGCACGACACACCCCAGAGCGACGCCTGCGGCCCCAAGTCAGCCTCGCGTCACGATTTCGGCACCAACCCACGATTCGGGACTGCCGTCACCGATGCCGCTGAAGCCGCAGCGCCCGCCATGCTTTGACCCGAGTCAACGGGGTGGTCCTACCGTTCAGGCGTGGTTGTTCACAATGAACGTCTTCTTCGACGCCAACTACGTCTCGGAGGACTCGGCGAAGATTCGATACGCCGTGTCGTTGCTGCGAGGACCCGCCATGGACTGGTGGCGCGTCATCGTCACGAAGCCGACCGACTACGCGACACTACCGACACGGGAAGGACAAACCGGACCCTGGGCGCCGTCGTATTTCGTGGAGGTGCCCCAGTATCGCACGTGGGACGCGTGGTGCGCAGGTCTGCGCGCTCGATTTGAGCCAATCGCGGCCTCGATCTCGGCGCGACAGAAGCTCCGCACTTGGCGCCAACTCGGTTCCGTCCAGGATTACACGAGCGGATTTCTGGCGCTATGCGAGCAGGTGGGCTACATGCATAAGAGCGAACGCATCGACCGCTACATCGGCGGCCTGAAGCAGGACATCGCTCAGGAAATCCAGCTTCGCGGCGTCACTGAGTTTCAGGAAATTCTCGCTATGGCGGAGAAGCTCGACTTCTTTCGCCGACCGAGGCCGGGGTCCTACGGAAACAACACCTGGGGACATCGGCCTCGAGGGACGAACGAGAGCGCCACGATACGCGCCGTCGCCGCAAATGCCGCTGCCGCACCGTTCAAAGGGCGCTGCTTTGCGTGCAATCGGCCGGGACATCGCAAGAGCGAATGCCCGGAAAACGCTAAGGGAAAGGGGGAAGCTGAGCAGCAGACACAGACCAAGCAGCAGGGAAACGCTGGAAGTCAGTAGCAGACGGGCCCTCTACTGACAGGTCACGCCGCTCGCCCGACCCAACCGACCCTCACCGAGTGATTGTGCCGGTTCACGCAATCGACCACACCCGGCCGAATAAGGAGGGTACCACGGTAGATAGCCCTATACTGCTCAGTGGGAAAATTGGGACGGACTTAGTTAAAATCTTCGTAGACGGGGGAGCCAGCCACAGCCTCATTAACACTGCTACAGCACGCAAACTGCGACTGCCACTGGACCGATGCTTACCTGAGATCGACGCACGACTGGTAGACGGCACGCCGCTGGCAATACGGGAACGCGTAGACCGAGTTCGGATTCGATGCGGGGGTAACTTCACGTTTAGTCAGGAAATGCTCGCAACGACCCTCGACGGAACCGACATTTTACTCGGGCGTGATTGGCTGCGACGACACAATCCGCGAATTGTCTGGACGACGGGTGACTGCACCGTGCGAGTAAACGGTAACAACATCGCCTTACCTCGCTGGGGCTCGCCTGAGTCTTCGTCGGTGCGTGTCAACGCGATCACGATGAAACGCGCTGTTGCGGCCGGAGCTGACGTGTACGCGGTTGACATTCGGGAAGCCGAGGCAGCAGACAAGGGGGGCGATTTACAGAAACTGCTGACCGACGTACCGAGTGACCTGGCGGCACTGTTAAAACAGTACAGTGACATTTTCCCGGATGACTTACCGACGGGACTGCCACCTCAGCGACCGAACGATCACAGGATAGAACTGGAACCGGGGGCACAGCCAACAGTACAGCGACAGTTCCGACTGACCCAACCCGAACTAGACGAACTAAGGAAGCAGCTCGATTACCTGCTCGAAAAGGAATTCATTCGCCCTAGTTCGTCGCCCTTCGCCGCACCAATACTGTTCACACCGAAAAAGGACGGGGGTTTTCGCATGTGCATCGACTACAGGGCACTGAACAGGGTTACCATCAAATCCCGTTACCCCATCCCACGAGCCGACGAACTGATCGGCCAACTGCGCACAGCCCGGGTTTTCTCGAAAATCGACCTCCGAGGAGGCTACCACCAAATCCGCGTCAACCCACCCAACTGCCCTAAAACCGCATTCCGAACACGCTACGGATCCTTCGAATACACCGTCATGCCATTCGGACTGACCAACGCCCCCGCCACTTTCCAAATGACCATGAACGAAGCATTCCGCCCGCTTTTAGATAAGTGCGTCATCGTTTATCTGGACGACATACTGGTTTAAAGCCCTGACAGAGCACAGCACTTACAAGACATCGAAGCAGTTTTTAAAATCCTGAGTGAGAACCGCCTACTGACCAAAGCATCTAAGTGTGAGTTTTTACAGGACCGCCTGGAGTTTTTGGGACATGTTATTTCAGCTGCACGAGTGGAAATAGTCCCGAAGAAAATTGCGACGATTCAGGCTTGGCACGCGCCGACCAACTTGACCGAGTTGCAGAGTTTCCTGGGGTTCGTCAACTATGTGCGCCGGTTCGTCCCCGACATGGCGAAGCTGACTGCCCCGTTGACTGACCTGCTGAGGAAGGGGGTTGAGTACACGTGGGGGGAGAAAGAGCAAGCTGCCTTCTCGGCCCTCAAAAATATTTTGTGCTCCCCGCCCGTCCTTCACATTGCAGATCCCCACCGTCCGTTCGAGCTCGTCACCGACGCAAGTGACATCGCTGTGGGAGCAGTACTGTTGCAGGATTTCGGGAACGGCCTCCAGCCAATCGCGTACGAGTCCTGCAAGTTACACCCGCCCGAACGTAACTACCCGATACACGACCGCGAGATGCTAGCGATCGTGCACGCGTTCAAAGTTTGGCGATGTTACCTGACTGGCGCCGACGTGACAGTACGGACAGACCACCGCTCGCTACAGTATCTTCGCGCCCAACCGAATCTCAACCCACGACAGATTTGTGAAATGAGTAAGCAGGAAAATGAGAATGACTAAGGAAGAGTGGGTACAAATACAACCCTAGAAACCCTGTACCCCATATGTGCTACCCCACTATAGCCTACAGCAACTATGTCATATAAATCTGACACACCCCCATAGGCAAAGTGGGGGAGAACAAGGGGTCACAAGACCAGTCAAGCAAAGCAAAACAAGCTCAGGGTGGATCACAAAGTCACCACACAGTCCGAGCACAAGAGTAGGGCCAGAGGCCAGTTCACATGCAGGAGTACAGACATATATATAAAACTAGACAAACAAGAGCAGGCATATATATATATGTCACAGTACAAGTGAAGTCAAGAGGAGAGCAAGTGAGGCAAGACAGGCACAAGACCCAGCTGGGTGCAGAAGCGCTGATGGTCACAAGGCGCGAGTGCCTTGGTGAACACATCAGCAGTGTTGGCCTCAGAGGCCACGTACGCAAGTCGCAACTGACCGCGCTGCTGCAGCTCACGAGCAAGGAAGTAGCGGAGAGCAATGTGCTTCGTTCTGTGCTCCAAGCGCTGCTCTCGACACAAGGCCAGCATAGCCTTGTTGTCTACGTACAGCACTGGAGGAGAACGAGGCGGCTCTCCAAGGTCAGTCAGCAGGTAG